GGGTGCATGCTCAGCACAGCGATGGCCCAGAGCAGAGAACTACACGGGTGGACATGAATAAGTCCAAGAACCACTGCCTGCTCCTCCCCACTTCCTGCAAGGCCCCTGCACTGGAAAACCTACAGCACCCCCACCATCCACACGTCCCCCCCCCATGTGGCGGGGCACACCTCCCTTGGCTCAGCAAAACCCTTTTGCCTCCAGCTGCCAATAAACACCACCCTCTCCAGGAACGGATATGCTGAGTTCTTAACAGAGAGCAAACGCAGAGCTGTAAGACCTCCTGTCCTCCCAGGCAGCGGCTGCCCTCTTACGTCAGCTCCCAGGAATGAGCCACCCACCCAACCTTCCACCAGGCTGTGGCCCACCCTCCCCCACCCCAACACAATCCACCGTAGACACCCCAGAGGTCCAGACAGGAGTTGCAGGGGAGCGTGGGTGGACAACTCACTCCAGGCCAGAGATTGGATGACAACTTAGAGTTAGGGGCAGTGAGAAAGAAGCCTGCTTGCTAAAGGGCCATCTAGGTCCGTGCTGGGTAGAAGGAAGATTACTGAGCTGGGCTGAGTGGACTAAATATGGGAAGTCCTACTGGCTCTCCCCAGCCCAGTGTGAAGCCAGATTGTGTGGGGATTTTGCCAATTGCTGAGCATGTCTATTTTAACTATGCATTCCAAAACTGGGGAAATCACCACAGGATGGATCCAGGGCCCCTCTGGTCCCACTGTGAGATGAAACTCCATTGATCACTTGAACTCTATGGCTCCCACTGTGACTGGAGGGCCACAGTGATGTTTGGGGTCTCCTGGAATTAGTGTCAGTTCAGAACCAGTGTCCAGTATTCCCTAAAAGTCTGATTATTTTCTTTTCCCCAATGCACAGTCGCCCTGGTAAAAGACCATACATCCCTTCGGGGAAGGATGGGGGAAAGGTTAGCTGTGTTAATTTTCTGTAGTGTGCTGGGGTTCTTCCTCCAAGGCACCCAGCCTCCCCTTCATTCTGGTTCAAGTCTGAGAATTGATTGAGGGGCCGTGACTCTGTTTTCATGATTCCACATTAGACTTTTGTTCACTCGACTTAGACCTTCTCTGGTTATACAGCTCAAGTAAGAACTTGGTAGGCTTCCCATCCGTTTCACTTCTGGGAATGTCATCACCAACTGGCCATCGATACTGAGTGCATGAGTCAGACCATTCTGACTGTGGCTTTGTCTCTGCGTCCATCATGGTGACCACGCCCCTCTTTCCTTCAGCTGGGGAGGCCCCCCCGTGGCCCCTGCCACTCCTGGATTACTCCCATTGCGTTAGGTTTCCCAGTTCAGTGGCTGCAGCTCCCACTGGGAGGTCTGGCCCACAGAGAAGAGCAATCACAGAGCTCGGCAGGGATGCCGGGGCTCCGGTCACGAATTTATTCCTCAGAGTCATGGGGAAAGGTGTGTCTTCTGGACCCCCCACCCCACTGCCAGTGTAGGTGAGTGGTCTTAAATGACAAACCCACCCTAACATTTCATTCTCCCTAAGCCTCTGACTGCCTTCCTCTGAAGGGCACATCCAGCTTGCTTGTGCCGGTCCGAGTTGTAGCCAACCAATCAACCACTGTTAGAGCCCTTCCTAACTCCCTGAGTGCGGCATTAAACGCAGAATTTCTGCTTAGTGAGCTCATATCAACAAAGCAATGTCAATATTGGGCTCCTGCTTTAAGGAAAAAAAGAAAAGATGATGACAAAATGCTCCTGGGCCTGGGGATGGGACTCTGCAGCTTAAATTTCATTTGCTTCAGAGTTCACGCTGCACTCTGCAGCCCCTGCAGAAGTCAGCTCCAAGCTGGGAGCAGCCCTTGGTGAGGAGGTCCTGACTGCACTCTCGGGGGAGCCTGTGGATGCAGAGGCCTCAGGGGCGCATAGGTGACTGGGGGTCAGGGAACAGAGGCTCTGAGGAAGAGCTACAGTCACCGGCCACTGGGTAACTGGGAGGCCTCTGAGCAGCCACCAGTGGGTTAGCAGAGGGAGCCAGCCAGCCCCAGGACAGTGAGGAGGTCCCAGGTGGAGGGACCTCGGGGGTGAATTTCTCTGGCTGGGTGGATACATGGACATTACTAACCCCACCCCAGACCAAGAATTACTTTGCAAACAGCATTCTTCCTAGAGTGGGAGACCTCAAGGCTGGCTGGAGGAGTGAAGGGGACAGGGGGCAAGGTGCCAGTGGAAGCTACTTGCTCCAGGACCAGGCAGTGTGTCAGCCTCAGTTTGGCTTCCAGACCCCTGTGGTCCTCATCTTCTGAGCAGAGCCCATGAATGCCCCCGGCCCCAGCGCAGCCCTGCCCCAGCCCTCGGACAGGCCAGTGCTGCTCAGCTGGCCCTGCCTCCTGGGAGGATTGGAGCTGAGCAGGCCTGAAAGTGGGGACAGCGGCAGGGGCTCTCCCTGGAACAGCCCCGGCTGTCCTGTGGGCTCTGCAGAAAGGGGCCGTGTGGCCCGAGTCCTCTGCCCTTTAGGCCTCAGTCTCCTCCTGTGCAGACTGAGGGCATGGGCCAGAGACCTCCGAACCCTGGGAGTCCCGGCTCTGTGCTAACACCTCCCTCTGGCCTGCTGCCATCTCAGCCCTGGTAGCACCACTGAGACACAGGAACTCTTCTCTGCACCTTCTCTTTGGGGTACACATAGGCACAAGTGTGAACTGAGACCCAGGGACTAACACAAAATGACGGAGACAAGCCGAGAAGGTCTAGCTCCCACCCTCTGGCTCGATGCTGGGCAGATGGCGCCACATCTCCAGCTAGAGGTCTGCAGTGGGAGCTGATTCCCAGAGCTTCTTAATCATCTCCCATCGCACAGAGAACACCGCCCACCTCGGACGTCTTCCAACCCTTGATGCCTTTTCCTCCCCATCCTCCACTTGAAAAGACAAAACCACAGATGAGGGGGCGGGAAGCATAGGGAGGGGGTTTCAAATCCAGCATGTGAGAAGATGGTCTGGGACCCAGCTGCCAAAACCCGCCCGAGATCACCCCTCAAAAGCAGCAGGACTCCAGACAGGCCACAGGTGGGGTCCTGCAATCAACACCATTGGAGCAAGTCCTGTGGCCAGGCTGGGGGCTCTGGTGGGGCCAGCGGGCAGGAAGCCTGTCAGGGGAGGGGGCTTGTTTTTCTTGGTCCAATTGGTAGGAAAAGCTGAGAAGGTGTTACCAGGGAAGGAGATGGTCAGCTGGTGGGACATCCCCAATGTACTCAGGACCCCTCTGCCAACAGGATGGTCTGGCCATGTCTGAGGGCTGGAAGGGTGGGATTCACCATCGTGATCACCCCCAGGGGCACTGTGAGCCCACCCAGCTGGGCAGCTCTGCAGAAGCACTAACTCACCCACCTGGTGGGCTGGAGGCTTGGGCTGGAGGTACGGCCCACCTCAGCTGCGTCCAGACCACGGCCAGGTAGGACAGGGCCAGGACCCGGGAGGCACATGGCCTGCTCTGCACCCCAGGGACTGGAGGCAAAGCTGGCTTGAACCCAGGCCTCCTGACTTTGAAACTACTTCTCCTCTTCCTCTTATTTAAAAGGAAAGAGGCAGTGTTGTGAGTCTACACTCTGGGGCGTAGACCTTGTAGCTGGACACCGTGTTTGAGGCCTGGATCCGCCACTTACCAATTATATCACCTTTCTCTAGGTTACTCATAGACCTCTATTTCCTAGTGATTATGAGGATTAAATGACCAAGAACAATGCCTGGCCCATGGCAGGCACGCAGTAAATAGAAGCTAGTATTCTTACTATTATTAAGGAGACAGGAAGAGCCCATCACCAACCAAGGATGCCTGAACTGCCAGCCGTCCGGGTGCCGAAAACCTTCACTGGACGCCCCCTGGGTCAAATTATTCTAAGTGCCCTCACTATCTGCTTCTTTCCCCAAGAATATTAACCTTGGAAACCATAACGGCAGTGCCAGATTTAATTGGGATTGGCTGAATCAAACGCATCAGCTTCTCGGTTACCAAACAATTGCTGCAATTTCCAGATTTCTCAGCATGATTGTTTGCTGAGGACGAGTAAAATTGCTTCTTAAATTGGTGCGGTCCTTGCCCTGCCTGGCTGGGTATTGCCCTTGTTTGGCCTCCACAGTCCCTGAGCTGGGCTTTTCTGGGCCGGGAGTACCTTGCATGTGACCTCTAACGTAACCCTTCTGTCACTCTACTCTCGTCATTTGCTTTGGGTCACGGGAGCGTGAGTTCCTCAGAGGTAAGGACGGCCCATGGCAGCCCCTGCAGACGGGCTTGCTGGGGGCACCAGCTTGCCCAGCGTGACTGGCAGCAGGAAGCCCACTGCCAGGGCGGACTCTTTTGACAAACAGGGAGGGCAGGGGCCCAGGAAGCCACCCGCTTGGCACCATCCACTTACTTGTACACTTTGGTGTTGTACGTCTTCTCCCCAGGGAAGCCGAACATGCCGCAGACCACACGGGAATTCTTGGCTGTCCAGTGCTTGTCGCAGATCTGCTTCCAGGACTTGCCGTCCTTCACCTCCACGTAGCCCTCGGTCACTGGGGTGCGCTTGCGGTAGGTAGAGAGGATGGCTCGGATCCGGATGTCCTCCACCTGGATATTCAGGTGCTGGGAAGAAGGAGGCACAGGAGGAGAGGGGTTACTTTCCTGGTCTGCCACAGAAAGGTGCCAAGCAACAGGTCCTTCTCAGGTGACTACAGGCAGGCCCTCTGCTCACCTCTGCCCTCAGGCCCTGCACAGGGCTATGGGCCTCCCCAATGAGCACACGGCACAAGCCACAGTTATAAAGTGCTACGCATGGGGGGCAGTACCCCATACCCCAGGGTAGGCATTCCTCCATTCAGAAATCCCCCACACAGGGCAGGGCTTGGAGAGAAAGGAGGTGGAGGCTCCCAGTGTTGCTTGAGCACGTTGTGTGCAGGGACTCACATCTGCCTAGCAGTGGGGGCATCCTAGGGACCAGAGAAGTAGGAGTGAGGACAATTATTTGGCTGTGGCAAGGAAAGACCCTTCTCACACCCCCTCCACCCATCTTTCTGTGGCAGTGAGGGAGAGAGGCTGGGATCAGGGTTGGGGAGGACTCATTGTCAAGACCCTTCAGGGGGAGGTGGAAGCAGTTGGAGGGGAGAGGCGGGGGGAGGAAAGTGCCTGCCTCCCTGCCACGTGGGCTCTCCTGCTCCCCGGACACTGAGCTGGAATGTCCCTGCACCTCGCCTACATCTGAGTCCTAGGGATTTGGCAGGAGAAGGCCCCGAGAGGCCAAGGTGGATGAGAAGAATGGGGGGAGGGAGTCCCCAGTATTACAGTGACACTTTATATGCTGTTTCAAGGCACGCTACATCAGTCCTCCAGTACGATGGAAGCCCCACTCCTGAATCGCTCATGTCCAGCCCCTCCTCTTTCTGGTGGGCCCACCACCGGCTCCTGCAACAGTCCCTGAATGCCTGCCTCCATCCATCTGCAGCAGGGCCAGCCACCAGAGAGCTCTCTCCAAACACAGACCTGCCCTTGCCCCTTGCCCGGCTCCTCTTTGTCTATGGAACACCCACATTATGTAGCGAGCTGCCCACGGGCCTTCACAACAGATTCCGCCTATGTCTCCTGCCCCTTCACTGTCTCCAGCTTGGCTGATCCACAGACACCATGAATTACGACAGACAATACTAATTGGCACCTGTGAGACTACTCACAGGTGCCAAGCCCATGCTACGTGCTCTATATGCACTCTCTCATTTGATTCTCAAGAACTGTGGTGAGGTGGTTACAATTATCCCCATTTACAGATGAGAAAACCGTGGCTCCAGTTTCCTCCCCAGGACCACCCTAAGGTGCAGTGTGAGACACACTCTGCGCTGAGCCAGGGAGGGGCTGGAAGGCAGGAGCCCAGTGACCTGAGTGCCCCAAACCCTGTCCAGCCAGGATGCAAATGAGCCCCGAGGTTGAACAGAACCATTCTTTGGGTGCCCAGGGATTCACGTCTCCTCGCCCCTGGCTTCAGGCCCTGCTCTGCAAGTCCTGCGAGGTGGTGGAAAGTATGTGGGCCCAGAATGATGGCATTTGGCCCTGGTCCTCTCCATGCAGAGCGGAAGGAAAGCCGCCAGTGGCAGGATTATGTTTTCCAGCCTGGATCCTGGATTCTTTACAGCCCTCGTTGAGGCCACAGGACCCGTGCCACCAAGACACGAGGACAGGGATAAGCCAAGAAAGGTCCTGAGGTCTAAACCCAGCCACGGGCCAGCTCCCTTCTGCCTCTCCCCACCTCAGGAGGCCAAGCTGGAATTCCAGTGTGTAATGCGTAATGCCCAGAAGGAAAGTTACTGAGTAGCAGGGTGGGCAGGCTGGGCTGACCTTACTCAAGACACAGATCCTTTTGCCTGCTGTGAGGTAGCACGGCAGGCTTGCTGAGGGGGCATGTGACCTTCAGCACTGGCTGCCACAGCAGGAGGAGGCAGAACCAGCTGGGGGAGCTCAGCAGACCCCCATGGAAGGGCCATGCTGGCCACAGGGCCTGAGGCCAGCACACATGCCCTCAGCTGCCAGAGGAGCTTGGCACTGCTCCTGCCTTGATGCAGGACAGGGCCTCTTGGCAGAAACATGACAGGTGGGGGAGCCAGGTGGGCTCCAGGGTGCAGGCGAGGAGGCCTGGAGGAGAGAAAGGGCTAGAACCAGCTGTTGTGTCCTCGATCTTTCACCAACCCACTACGTGTGTGTGTGTGTGTGTGTGTGTGTGTGTGTGCATGGTGGTGTGTGCATGATGGTCTATGTGTCTGTGTGTAAGTGTGCGATGATATGTGTGTGTGTCTTTGTGTGTCTGTATATTTGCATGGCGGTGTCTGCCTGGTGGTATGTATGTCTCTGTGTCTGTGTGTGTGCACGTTGGTGCGCGCATGATGGTCTATGTGTCTGTGTGTGTGTTTTTGATGGTGTGTGTGTATGTGCATATCTGGGCATCTGTATGTGTGTATTTTGGTGTGTGTGTCTGTGTGTGTGCCCATGTGTCATGTAAGTCTCTGTGCCTATATCTGTCTGTGTGTCTCTGGGAACACGTGTCTGTGTTCGTGTGACATGTGCAAGGCAGGGCTGTGTGTGTGTGCCTGTGTGTCGTGTGGGTCTCTATGCACATGTCTGTGCATGTGTGCATGATGGTGTGTGTCTACATCATGTGGGTCTCTGTATGTGTGGAGTGTGTGACAGTGTGTGCGTCTGTGTGGTGGAGGAAAGACTGAAAGGGACTTGTAGCCTCCAACACCCAGGAAAGTAGTAGAGGCTACGCCTGCTTCCTCAAAATGGAACGTGTTCTCCTCTTCTTCCTCCATGGAACCAAATCCTGCCCACTCTGTAAAACTCAAGTCCACCTCGTTCATTCACTTACTCATTCATTCAATAAAATACAGTCTCTGCTCAACATGGGCCTTGCTAGGCTTCCTCCCCACACCTCAACCACAGTCCTGTCTCTTCTTTGAACAATGACTCCAATGGCCATCCCTTACCCACTACCCACTAATGCACGCCTGTGCACAGAACTTCACACCCACTCCCTCACTCAGCCCCCAGGACAACCTTCCAGGTGGTCTATCCATTTATAGGTGAAAACTTAAGAAAACTTGGCAATCTTGCAACTTATCCAAGTTCAATGTGGCCAACAAGTAGGTAAACAAAGACGAGAGTCAGGTTCGACTCTAAGTCATACTGTAGGCTCTAGTGATCCCTGGTCACTAGTCTAGGCTCATAGCGGCCACTGGTCTCTGAGCCTCCCTAGCCCCCAAGCACACGTTCTGTACATTGCCTGGTATTGAGAGTGACCCACATGGGGCACAGCCTGGGCTCCCACCTTTGCCTGGTGCTGTGCACAGTCCCATGCCTCACCCAAGGAACTGTGAATCAGGCCACATTGTGTACGTGAGGGGAGACCCGTGCTCCCAGTGGCTCTGTCCTCAGGCCAGCGGGAGGCGGCAGGGAAACCCCGTGGCACACACTCAGCCCTCGTGCTAGCTAACCGGCTCCTCGGAGACCTCTTAGAAAACACAGGCGTGCTCACACAGCCTCCCCTTACTTCACTGCTGTGGAATCTCTTCCATAACCACAAGTGTTAGGATTTTTTTCTCCAGAAGTTTAGTCCCAAAAGGGAAGAGGTTTGAAACATTAATATACACACACATTTTTCTTTTTTAACAAAGGACTCTCCAGACTTGTTACTTTAAAATTAAACTAGCAATAGCCCAGAAGCTGGTCAAGCATCTGGCACATTTTAGAATTCAGAGTAAAGCCTTATAAACCCAAGATCACCGGTTTGGATCCCTGTACTGGCCAGCCACCAAAAAATAAAGATAAAAAATAAAATAAAATTCGAACTAAAACCTGAACACAGTTCCTCTTTTCAGAGACAATAGTGCACCCAGGCTGCCAAAGGTTTCCCGAGAAGGGATTCACAGAAACTCCTGGGCTTGTCCTCGCCAGAACTCATCACATCCCTCAGGGGGCCTGAGGACCTGTCACCCACCTCCAGGAGGGAACACTGAGGCCCAGCAAGGCAAGGGGCTTGCATGCTTCAGCCGCTGAGTTGCTGGGAAGAAAGGCTGGCAAGTAGTGCTAGGGCTCAGGCTTCCGGGCTTGGGCCGAAAGACATTTAATATTTGCAGCATCTGTCAACGACTTGCAAATTCCAGAATCTGACAGTCTGGGACTGTGGCCAATGAGGAAAAGTCACCCATTTTGAAAGTCTAGCTGGAGATTGCATCAGGGAAAGACACAAGAAGCAAGAAAGCAAGCGAGCCTGCAAGAATCCACTTTGCATTTGGTCTGAAAACTCAGCATCAGGCACACGGCCTGCTGCGAGGCACGTTTGCAAGACTGGGTCTCAGCCCTGTTTTCTTTCTCCTTCCCTCTGTTCCAGAAGTCATAGTTTAAGACCAGCACAGGCCTTCCCACCCAAGAAGGCACTTTTGGGGTGGTGTTGGGGTGGGAGGATCATGCTGGGGAGAAGTACCATTCTGCCAACATCCCCCCTAGATCGTGTGACCATTAGTTCTCACAGCCTCTGCCCTGCAGCACCCCCCGCCCTCTACAGCCAACGAGTTCTTGTGTCTCGTTCTCAAAGTCTTCAGCTTTCTTTATTCAGCTGTTGTTTTTTTAAAGCCTTCCAGATGCAGACTCATGTTCCTCTGCTCAGCATCTCAAACCAAGCACCTCCACGACGTCCCCGTTCTTCCTCTTTCCACTGAGTCATTGAGTGAGGCTGTGCCCTTCCAGCCACTGTCCCCTTCCAGCCACTGTTCCCTTCCAGCCAGCAGGCCTGCATCAAACTCTCTTCCCCACGCTTCCAGCCCATCCAGCCCCCATGATGACTGCTCTGCACTTCCAGACATTTTCCATGACACTGCTGTCTTCCAGTCAGGTGTTCCATAAGGATAGTGGAAGGACAGAAAGGGCATCCTGATTCTGTCATCTTCCTTAGGCCCTGTGCTGTCCGCTCAGCTCTGGTCTCATCTCCAATCCAGTCCATAGACAGGTCCAGCTACTGTGACCATGGTGGGTCCATATCTTGCTCAGACATTCTTGAGGCTCCCCAACGCCTTAGGCTCGGGTCACACCTTATAATTCTCTCTTCC